AGCCAGGCGAAGAGCGCGCGCTGGACGCTGAGGAGGAGGTGCAGCAGGCGCCACAGCACCTCGTACGCGACGCTCATTGGACTGGACGGAGGCGCGGCGCGGCGGAACGGGACGGGAGGCCAAGGGCAGGTCGGAGGGAAGGGTCAGCCGTAGCGCGCAGCGCACACCATCTCCCCCGCCTCGCCCTCACGGACACGGTTTTATTTGCCCGGCAGCCTCCGACACCGCCGCCGACGCCACCGCCGCCATCGCTCTCCCGACCTTTCCCCTCGAGCTGACGTACGAGCCGCCCATTGGCCGAGGCGCCGCCGGCGGGGTCATTTCCGGGTTGGTGGAGCAAATGACGTGGCTTCGCTGAAGGAAAAGGACATCTCGGCGGATCTCCAGAAGGAAAGCGGAGTGGACCTTTCAAGCCGCCGGCGCTGGGGGCCTTTTTAGTTTTAGCGCGTTTTCCTCGTGACGCAGCGACCTCTAGCGGCGGGGCTGTGCGTCTCCGCCTAACAATCAGTGCATGGATTTGTGCTCTTCGTGTCTCTGGCTTGCTTTTTAAAAAAATACCTGTTTCTTTATATCAAACCAACACGCCCCCCCCGTTTTGTCATTTTTTCTACTTTAATCTGATTTGTAAACATTGAGTAGCAGATCATATTCAAAGTTTCGGAGATCCCGTCAAGAAAGAACATGGTCTATTTTGTCCTCTACTCTCAGAAAAGTTTTAAAAGCTATAGATGTGCTAAGTCTTGTTTCGGCATGCATAACAGGACAGAAACCAGCGTGGCACAGATTTATTGAGACTACCGAATTTATTTTGGAGTGAGCTTTCATGGATTACAGTCCACTTTCTCAGAGAGATTGTTAATACATGAGCAAGTGAAAATTTGAGCACTAATAGTGTTCTATGTATTTGCATCCGTGATACCTCATGTTTAATTCATAGCAAAGTGATTTCTAATTAAACACTTTATGATTGCAAAAATATTCCCAGCCACCTCCATACTTAGCTACTAATACTGGGTTTACATACAATTTGTAGGCAAATTCCTAAAGGAGGAGATACATTAGTCGGTCACAGGGCAAGAAAGGATCCCACCTTTAAGACTAACTTTTATAAAGTTTGCATCAGATACCCCCATACCTATATACTAGTAATGTTATTTTACTATTGCTAGCACAAAGCTAGAATTGTCCCAACCTAATGAGCTGGAAAGGGGGAGATAGCCTGATCCTAGATGCACCTGATCTCATTGCATTTAATACCCTTTCCCCTCGAAAATAAGACCTAACCTGAAAATAAGCCCTAGTATCATTTTTCAGGATGCTCGTAATATAAGCCCTACCCCCCAAAATAAGCCCCAGTTAAGTGAACCCCCGCCCTCCACCACTGTGCAGCAACCAGAAGATGACATGACTGTAACTGAATAAATGTACAGTAGATTGTTGTACATTTAAAAAATCCTCTGAAAATAAGCCCTAATGTGTTTTTGGACCAAAAATTAATATAAGACCCTGTATTATTTTGGGGAAAATACGGTACATTTAGAGACATTTGGCTGCATAAGATTGAACTGAAAAGTCTCAGAGATTGCCTTGGAGAGAACTGGATTGACCATCAAAAGCAATCAGAAGGATGTGCTCAGTCTATTTCATAGTCATAATAATCATCTGTGTTTCCTCTGACACTGAAGGTTTCATCAACATTTGATTTCTTTCCATTTTCTTCCCCCACGTCAGCCGCATACAGATTGTGGTGTGCACACACACGCAGAATCCTTTGGGATGACATCCAGGCCTCACCCTGGCTTTCTGTTGGGGAGGTACACTGTCCTCCCTTGACCTCTGTGCCTTTTGCCATGAGCGCCCTTCTGGTTCTGAGGAGGTCGCAGGTGCAATTCCACGGATTCCCATCCAGATACAGGTACCTAAGACGGGGCAAGTACTTCAAGAGACTGTAATCCAGGCTGGAGATCTTGTTGTTCCGTAGATTTAAAACCTGCAGGTGCCTTAAATTGGACAATTCTTGCTCTTGAATTCGTTGTATACTGTTTCCTTTCAGATCCAATCTAGCTAATGTATGTGGGAGGCTGAGGTGAAAAAAAAAACAAGGGAAAAAGGATACAGGAGAGAAAAACAAAATGAAAGTTATTGTTTTTATCATTTGTGCAGCCTCCTGAAGCATGCCATATTTTACAACCTCAGTTTCAGTTGGCCTCACAAAAACTCTTGTCACTAGAATGAGAAATCCTAACATGCACAATGCCACCTAGCTGCCTAGTCAACAGAGATTCCAATGTGACTTCTTGTTCTAAAAGGAAACTAGAGGATAGTTTGAGCCAGGGCTTATCAGGACCCTTCTCTAGAAAGGGTGGCCTAGCATTGACTGGTTTTGATTTTGAAGAAGATCTGAACACTGGGAGTTCTGTTTGGTTGCTTTAGAAACCAGATACAATACTACACTCAGCTCTCCTGATCCCTCTGTGAAATAAACTGAGCATTTACTGTCTACATTTTGAACTCTTTGGAACTGCTCTCCATTAGTATATTCCACTGTTCTGCTATGAAGCCTAAGGTTCATGGCTCAATGCATGCAATTCCTTGCCACAGTCATTTTACTATTGCAACAATCCTGTGATTGCTTAAAGTAAAAGGTGGTGACTGCCCAAAGTCACCCAGTGAATGTCACAGCTGAGCAGTGCTTTGATACTACTGCTAATTGCAGCCCAAAGACAAAGGCTCATGGAATGTAAGTAGATGCTGAGCACAGGATGCATAGCTTTTATTGTGAAATCACCTTGCCTCATTCATGCAATTCTACAAGGGTTCAGATAGCATTGTCTTCCATTGATAACTTCCCAGGAGTGGCTCTTCTCTTTACACAAAACTTCTATTGTGTAGTAGCTACACAGTGACTTTTGATTTGTAGTATGAGCAATATCACTAGTCTTTGCTCAACATCCTAACCAAGGAATATAGTTAAAATGGGGTGCTGGTGTCCAGATGTTTTTCTGTCCCAGTTGCTTACCTTAATGGAATAGAACTAAGTAGATTTTGTTCAAGCGCTAGATTAGACAGTAGTGTGCATTTCTGCAGGGCTCCATCCTCAAATGTGGCAACAGTATTGTTATCAAGGAACAAATGTTTGAGTTCTTGTAGATTCCGGAACTCTTGTGCTGTAATCTGCCTGATAAGGTTATTGCTACAATCAATTTTCTGCAACGTAGCTGGCAATCTGAGTGGTATTGCTTGGAGTTTGTTCCCAGCCAGCTCCAGTCTAGTTAAGCTAGAAAGATACTGTACACCATCAACTGAGGAAATCTGATTTTCAGACAAGCAGAGCTCTGACAAGTTTGCCAGTTGTTTCACCTCTCCAGCTCTCAGCATCTTGAGCTGATTTCTCTCTAACTTTAATGACAGTAAAGATTTAGGTAGATCTGGGGGGGTGTCAGTCAAGAAATTGCCATTTAAATTTAGAAATAGTAAATTGTGCAGAGACGTGAAAAAGCTTGCTGGGAAAGAGGGCAATTTGTTATTCTCCATGCTCAGATGCTTTAGACTGGGAAGATGGGATGATCCAAACACAGATTCCATATCATTTCCATCCAAAGTCAAACTCTGTAAACTGCTAAGAGAGGAAAGAGTAATAAATGAAAGAGTCAAAATCAAATTGCTTTGTATATCAAGGACCCTTAAGTTTTTTAAACCTTCAAAATCAGATTCATGGAGAATGCTTATTAAATTATCTCCAAGTTTCAGTACTTCAAGGCTTGGTGGGAGTGAGCTTGGTACATGTCTTAGTTTGTTTTTCCAGAGTTCCAGAATTCTTAAGGCACCCAAAGCTTTGAAAGTGTTGTTCTCCACCGATTCTGTCCCACTGCAGGTCAGGACAAATTCTTCAAGGTAAGACATCCCGAGAACATCAGTGACCTGAAGGACAAAAGCCATGGCAACTAATTCAGTAAAGGATCATCTCATTAACAGCTCTACAGAAGGAACAGAAATAATCAGGAACACCATCTATTCTGGGGGGGGGGGGGGGGGGGGTGTGCAAAGGAA